AATACCTTCATTAATTATGATATTAATATTATGGCATTGTTCACGTGTTTAACATGACAGCACACATTGTAATATATCAGATATCAGATTATAGAATGCATAGAAAATTACAATGAATATACACTCTTAAATCTCAAGTCTGAATATTATACCTTCTTTTGATACTTATTTCATATTTAGACTTATACGGAGAACGTTTATGACCTTGGTTTTACCATATCAAATTATAAGTGTTACTTTTTGTGCATACTTATATGTTAGAATAAGTCATAATAGTTTAATTTGTGTAAAGAGTAACTAAACGCTTTCAAACTTGAAAATGGTCCGAGGTTATAAAGAAATTGCATAGGCCCAAACGGAGATCTCAGGTATTTAATTATTCAAATATTGGTCTTAAATAAACACAAACCAATAGAAATCCTGAGATTTTAGACAATCGTCAGATACCCATGGTTGATTAACATGAAATCAATAAACTGTAAATGAGCCGCGTCACGACAAAACCAACATAGAAACCAAATAGAAACCAAAATAGAAACCAAATTTAATTTCGTTTGCGACCAGCATGGATCCAGACCAGCCTGCGCTTACGCGCAGTCTGATCAGGATCCATGCTGTTCGCTATCAGTTTCTTTACTTGTTATAGGGTCTGTAAGCGAACAGCATGGATCCTGATCAGACTGCCCGGATGCGCAGGCTGGTCTGGATCCATGCTGTTCGCATACCCATTATGTTGGTTTTGTCATGACGCGGCTCAAATGTAAATGGTTTGGCCGTGAGTATCCGACGTTGTCGAGTCAGAACAAAGTTTTATAATCTCAAAGTGTGATCCCACGACACAAGTTTATTCAAATGCGGACAAAGATAATGTAAAAATAAAGAATACCTGTACGACTTGCCCATACAGTAACTTCTTGCCTTGCTGTCTCTTCTGTTCCAACTCATTATCTTCAGATTCCGCCTTCGCTGCATTCTTTAATAAATAAATGTCAAAATCAATCGTTTAGTTATTCAATTAGACAAATCAAACATAACGCAATAAAGCAATGTTGTTACCAAAATGTAGCGGAGTCAAGTTGATTTCTTGCGCCAACATTTGGATGATGTGGAGAAAAATATCTTGAAATACAGAAAATAGTGTGGAACTAAAAGTGTAACGTTGATAATAAAAAAGCTGTATATATATCAAAGCTTTTTTTAATTCAACAATTTTAGATAATGTATAAAAAAACAACTGTAAGACAATTCACAGAGCATAAGTGTGTAAGAAATTAAAGGTTTTTTTATTGAATCTTTAAGGGTATATGTTGTTAACTTCTGTTACCTCTGCTTGGTGATAACGTGCTCGCAGCGTGTAGTCATCCGGGCGTTCTTCAATCTTGGACTTAATTCCTCTGCTCTGCTTATTTAGTTTGTAACGATTGGCTACACATATCTCAAATGACAGCACTGAGAACATACAGAAAAACAAATATCTCAAATGACAGCACTAAGAACATAAAGAAAAGACATATCTCAAATGACAGCACTAAGAACATACAGAAAAAAACAACAAATATCTCACATGACATCATTGTGAAAATACAGACAAGATTTATCTCAAATAACAGCACTGTGAACATAAAAACGAGATATATCTCAAATGACAGCACTGTGAACATAAAGAAAAGATATATCTAAAATGACAGCACAGTGAACATACAGATAATATGTATCTCAAATGACAGCACTGTGAACATACATACACGATATATCCCAAATGACAGTATTGTGAACATATAGACATGATATATCCCAAATGACAGCATTGTGAACATATAGAAATGATATATCCCAAATGACAGCATTGTGAACACATAGACACGATATATTCAAAATGATAGCATTGTGAACATATAGACACGATATTTCCCAAATGACAACATTGTGAACATAAAGACACGATATATCCCAAATGACAGCACTGTGAACATATAGACACGATGTAACCCAAATGACAGCATAGTGAACATATAGACACGATATATTCAAAATGAGAGCATTGTGAACATAAAGACGCGATATATTCCAAATGAGAGCATTGTGAACATATAGACACTATATATCCCAAATGACAGCACTGTGAACAGATAGACACGATGTATCCCAAATGACAGCATTGTGAACATATAGACACGATATATCCCAAATGAGAGCATTGTGAACATAAAGACGCGATATATTCCAAATGAGAGCATTGTGAACATATAGACACTATATATCCCAAATGACAGCACTGTGAACAGATAGACACGATGTATCCAAAATGACAGCATTGTGAACATATAGACGCGATATATCCTAAATGACAGCATTGTGAACATATAGACGCGATATATCCCAAATGACAGCATTGTGAACATATAGACACGATATATCCCAAATGACAGCATTGTGAACATATAGACACGATATATCCCAAATGACAGCACTGTGAACATATAGACACGATATATCCCAAATGACAGCATTGTGAACATATAGACACGATATATCCCAAATGACAGCATTGTGACCATATATACGCGATATATCCCAAATGGCAGCATTGTTAACATATATACGCGATATATCCCAAATGACAGCATTGTGAACATATATACGCGATATATCCCAAATGACAGCATTGTGAACATATATACACGATATATCCCAAATGACAGCATTGTGAACATACAGACACGATATATCCCAAATGACAGCACTGTGAACATATAGACACGATATATCCCAAATGACAGCATTGTGAACATAAAGACGCAATATATTCCAAATGACAGCATTGTGAACATATAGACACGATATATCCTAAATGACAGCATTGTGAACATATAGACACGATATATCCCAAATGACAGCACTGTGAACATATAGACACGATATATCCCAAATGACAGCATTGTGAACATAAAGACGCAATATATTCCAAATGACAGCATTGTGAACATATAGACGCGATTTATCCTAAATGACAGCATTGTGAACATATAGACACTATATATCCCAAATGACAGCACTGTGAACATATAGACACGATGTATCCCAAATGACAGCATTGTGAACATATAGACGCGATTTATCCTAAATGACAGCATTGTGAGCATATAGACACTATATATCCCAAATGACAGCCTTGTGAACATATAGACACGATATATCCCAAATGACAGCATTGTGAACATATAGACACGATATATCCCAAATGACAGCACTGTGAACATATAGACACGATATATCCCAAATGAAAGCATTGTGAACATATAGACACGATATATCCCAAATGACAGCATTGTTAACATATATACGCGATATATCCCAAATGACAGCATTGTTAACATATATACGCGATATATCCCAAATGACAGCATTGTGAACATATATACACGATATATCCCAAATGACAGCATTGTGAACATATGGACACGATATATCCCAAATGAAAGTATTGTGAACATATAGACATGATCTATCTCAAATGACAGCATTGTGAACATATAGGCACGATCTATCCCAAAAACAGCACTGTGAACATATAGACACGATATATCCCAAATGACAGCATTGTGAACATATAGATGCGATATATTACAAATGACAGCATTGTGAACATATAGACACGATATATCCCAAATGACAGCATTGTGAACATACAGACAATATTTATTTTAAATGACGGGACTCTGAACATGCAGACACAATATATCTCAAATGACAGCATGCATAGTGAACATGTAAATAATGTATATCTGAAATGACAGCACTCTGACATATAGACAATATATATATCTCAAATTAGATTAATGTGATCAAATTATAATACATATAACGCAATATTTCTTGAACGATCAGTTTTGGAGAAATCACTATGTATACAAATAAAATGATCAAATGATCAAAAGATATGCAGTATTAGATAAACACATATGAACACATATAAAAATATCACGAATAACAGCAATATGACATTTAGTGTCTTAAATGATAGTCGGTTGGATATACATTTATGTACAAATAGAATATAATTAATGATTACACTGAACACACATATCAGGGACTTTTGTACTGTGAAGGTTTATCTATAATTATCTCAATTAGTACAAAACAATCCCACTTTTATTTGGAATGCAATCAAGCAAGGCATCCAAGTACATAATACTTTTGATTGAAACAAAGAACAAGATCAGTTTAAATTTGTTGAAAGGAGTTATTATATGGAACATCAAGAGTTTACATTGTTGACATGGAACCTGTCATTTCTCAAAAACGTGAGTGCATATTGGGTTCAATGCTAGTTTTTGACGTGAAGACTACATATTTTATAAACCAAATAATGTAAAGTCTTCACGGGCATTTTTATCAGGTGTTGATATATGTAAGTGTTATAATACAAAAATGTTTCAAATAGTTTTACATGCAACTTACGATTTTGGTCCTTTACATCTGGTTTCCGCTTATCTTGCTTGGATCCAACAGCAATCAAATTGTGCACAGAACTAAAATGTATAATATAAATATTAAAATTCTATAGAATTTTTTTAATTTGTTTTTTTCGAAATCATTTTACCCTCAATCTGATAGAAACGAAAGTGGTTAGTGGTTAACCTTTTCCATCAGTAAAAGTTACCCAGCTAGCCTACTGAACGTCGATTGTTCTGCCTAAGTGCGCGTTCGTGCCTGAAATAATTCGCGGAAGGGCATCTGGGATCTTCCTCGACCAGTAAAGCTGGAAACTCACCACCGTATGACCTAAACGGTGTTTTTGCGTCGGGGGAGGGGGGGGATGATCCTTAACAATGTGAATCTTATGCTGGATATAGTCTCACAGCAACTTATAGACATATCAACAAATACTCATCTGAACTTATTACTATTTAAAAGGTATAAAGCTTTGTATTATGAAATATCTTCAACAGTAAAATTTTATTGGTTCAATTATCTATCTAAAAGATTATCGATCGTAAAGAGTTGTAACATAGAATGTCTCTGTTATTTAACATACATTGTACGTAAACAGAACAAAATTTCCACCAGGCATATAATAATTTCTTTCATTGTTGATTAATGCTCTGGAATCCGAGATAAAATGAAATGAAATAATAGACGGAAATATATAGAGAATATTGAATGAGTGTAGGTTTAATCTTGAATTTATTGAACGTGTTGAAAAACATTATATTAGGTAAGCCTCTGGGGAGCATAATATTATTTTATTTCAAGAGTTCAATAAATAGAGGATACTGAATGAGAATAAATTCAATATTGAATTTATTGAACGAGTTGAATAAAGTTATAGTATGCGATCCTCTGGCGAGCATATATTATTTTATTCAACGATTTCAACAAATTCAGTATAGAATTTACACGAATATATAGAGGATATTTTTTGTCTGTGTGTAAGATGAAATTTTATTTCATCGATTGGGATTTAAAAACGGTATTCTCACGAGTGGCGTAGCCACGAGTGAGAATACTGTTTTTAAAGTTCACGAGATGAAATAAAATTACATCTTACACAACAAACAAACAAATTTTCTTTTTATTTTATGCTTAAAAACAAGTGAAAATGAAATTTCCATAATATTAACGTTAATATTAGAATCTGTTTTCCCCATTGAGAGCCCGATTTAATCGGAATTTCTCATTAAATACAAGTGTTGAGCTGAAAAATTAGTTCGACAATCAACGTTAAATGACGGTGATATTATTCATCTTATTAAAAAAACGTGAATGAGCGCTTGTTTTGATAATAAAAACAAACAATTCTTATAGGAGAAAAAGTCCAACTATCCATCCATATTTCCATTACTCACTGCGAATTTATATTAGACCTGGCTTTGTTAAATGTAAGCGGCAGCCATTTTTTAAAGTTGTATTTCACGGGAGGAAAATAATTATGTTTGATTCAGAGGGATATCATTTGGATTTGTTAGTCATACACCTTCTTAAAAGTAAAAAAAAAACTTATCTGAGGATTGAAACAGACAAAAAATAAGTGTTGACAGATGTGAAATCAAGGAAAAGCAAGGAAAATAGAAAACTTCTAAGGCTGGCTCAGGAACGCTGGATTGTTTACTTATTCTACGGGGATGGCTGTCATTGCTTTTTCAAGTTTTCATAAAGTATACGGAAAGTATTGCTCGTAGGATACTTTAATATGCCCAAATGTCATCAAGAGCAGTTTTGCATGTGGAAGGAATGTATTTTTCAGACTGTAAAAATGAAACAAAAAAATTTAGAGACGAAATTTGTTGATTGGAATTTGAATGAATAGAAGTAAGTTTTCTTCTTTTTATTACTTTTGACATTTAAGTTATTAATCATTTTGAGCTTTGCTTTTCTTTAGACAGCCTGACATTGTCAGAATTGTCAGCAAAAATAAAATTGAGGTACCACATGGGGAAAATCTTAAAAAAGTATTTTCGTCAATGAAATTATATTTTGATAATTTTTTACTGTGAAATTATCAAATACAATTTTCACGAATAAATCAGTAATCCACTGAAAAGCATAAAATAAAACATTCTATTTATCACATAGCCAAAATAAAGAGTGTTGAAAGTACAACATATATTTTTTCAATAACGCGCCTATAGCGTTACGCTAACATTTTGCGCGTCTTTACACTGTGTTGGAATAACGCAAATGACGTCACGTCAAAATATATGCGCAGCCGCGCAAGACCGTTTTTTTTACCGAGTCGCAAAATCGGCACGGGTATGTGATAAATCTTTATTCTATTCTTCTGTTCATATATAAAATAATTACTTTGTGTTTATGATAGAAATCAAAACAGTCTCTTATTTTCCATACTACCTTACTTCTATTTCTTACATCTACCCCTACCCTACCAAGCTCTTGGATTTATTAATTTACCTAATAATTTACTTAACTTGATGTCGTGTAATGCTTGGCGGCGTGGCTGAGTTGTTAACGCGTCAGGCTAGTTGAAATGACTACGTAGGTTCAAACCTTGTCAGGGGTAAGCTATTGATTCCTTGAGCAAGAAACTTTACATTCATTACTTACTATACTATTACTTTCAATAAGCTTATAGCTCCCAATACAATCGAACCAAAATAATTTTGTATAAACTAAGCAAGCATGCTTCCCAATTTCTTATGACCGGTAAATTAAGTTAATTGTTTACACAATTATATTATAGTATAAATAATCATTCAAACAATACCTGCTCTGTGACGAGAACACAAATCCGTAAGATTCCGCCGAATATAAACAAATTACATCACCTATATATAACGTATCGTCTGCCATTTCAAAAAACAAATCGCGTCATCTCGTTTTCACAAGTAAGAATATATAAAAGTTCTAAAATTTCAATCAAGCACTTCTTAATTCGCTTAAAAAATGTTTTGTTTTCACAACAATAAAAGAAACCTTGACAAAGGCATTATCACTTGTCTCTGTTTTTTAAACAATGTAAATTATTGCCATTGTGTAAACAATTAATGTCATTAATACATTGCGTTGGCACTTGATCAAAAAGAATTAACAAAATGAATACAGTAAAAAGTTTAATTCGTTTATCGCATATCTTTCAACAGACAATAACTTAAAGGATTCTTTTGTTTAAAACGCACATCGGTTCGACTACGGTGATTGTTTAACAGTAGTTTGTCCTCGCCTTTTTATTGTTTATTTATTTCTTTGTCGCCGTTAGTTTTCTTTGGCCAAGTGGCTTCGAGTCGCTCCCCATTCACTCATCTCCCTGTTTTGAAATCATGCATTCAGATATTGGTCATTAAGCTGAAATAATCTTAGATCCGGTAATATTTTTTTAACTTGAAATAAAATATTTGTAGGTATGATTTCAGATGCCGTTAAATGAAATAGGCGTTGACCCGTTCAGACCTGAGACACGTTTTTAACCTCTGTTTGGAAGCCACTAAGATGTATTTATAGGTCGTAATCGCTTAAAAAAGTTTCTAAGACCTTCGATTTTGTACTTTTATACCGAATATTTAATGCTTTAATAGGGCTATTGCGACACACAAATATAACTCGAAACAACTAAAACACGAAAAGTCGAAATAACGCAACCACGATGGTGGAAAATCGAAGATTCGATGATAAAAAGTCGAAAGTACGATGGTAAAAAACTAAGATGGTGAAAACTTGATATCATTTCGGGCTTTCACCATTGACATTCGACTTTTCAACGTCGTGGTTTTGTTCCTATGTTATTTCTAATTTTTCTCCATGGTACTTTCGAATTCTTATCTCCGTAACTTCGACTGTTCAGGATTGTAGTTTTTTACCTTTTCACGATCGTACTTTCAACTTTTCCTCATCAAGGTTTCGACTTTTTAACATAGTACCTTCGACTATAAACCATCGTAGTTTCGCCTTCCTGTCTACATGCGCACATAGACCTTAACAATAGATGACGCAAATATATCAAACAAGGATCCAATATCCTAAAACTAATAATATTCATGGATGTTATCATGATGTTGGCAAAAGGTTGGTAAAAATGCTAAATATCGGAACAACGAAACCACTTGACAACAAAAAACCACACACACACACACACACACACACACACACGCACACACACACACACACACACACAAAAAACACAAAAAATAACAAACAAAAACAATACAATTTATTAATCATCTGTAATATAGTATCGCATATTGCAATATTTCAAATGATTAAAATATATCATTTACGCCAAGATTTATAAAACATACCCAAATTTAACATCATATATTCAATCAAAAGTGTGGTGGATCATTAAATTAAAAATGCCTTCTGCATAACCTGATACCTGTGCAAGCATGGCGTTACAGTAGCTACACACAATTGTTTTGCTACTACCTCCACTTAATTTATTGGGCTGCAAATATCCATTAATGACGCAAAGAAGTATGTAGTTTTTTTTCTGGAAATATCATTAAAATACCTACACACTAATAATGCATGTGGCCCGACAAAGTAACCCATTCTCATTTTAACGTTGGTTCATTATAAACTTATAAACATATTTCAAAATATATAAAAATATATAAATAGGTTTTGCAAATGTCTCGTAAGTTATTAAAGGAAAGTGCTAAGACTTTTTTAAATGGCCACATGACTAAATAACATTTCCAGAGCCACCAATCGCTCCGGTGTTCGGGTTGATAGCTTCACATGGCCGTGTTGCGTGGTAGTAATATCCGGTCGTACACGTGACGATAGCAACTGTTCTATCTTTGTAACAGACGATATAGTACTCAGTTCCCTTGAGGGTCATAATACAAATATCATATCCAGACGTTAAAATCCCAACACTTGAGAGACATCAAACATATATCTTGGCTATATGTTGAAATCCCAACACTTAAGGGTCATTATACAAATATCTTGTCGTGACATTAAAATCACAACACTTGAGAGACATAATACATATATCTTGTCTATATGTTGGAATCCCAACACTTGAGAGACATAGTACATATATTTTGTGTATATATTTCAGTGTTTGAATTGAAATGTGCTTCGCAGAACTATCATTGGGGTAAAGTGGGAAAGACTAGTGAAGTGGTAAGTCTTCTTAGTTGTGGTGACTCAAGTTTTGTTGTGGATGACCAAACAAGATATGCTGAGATAAGGAAAGTGTACATAAATTGGCAATCCTTTATTCTAATTGCAATATTATTGCGCATTTATTTTACATGCATACAGTGGTACTAGCCTAATTAATTTGGCGTGAACGGTTTGACCAATTTTACAGACTTTTTTTCTTACTGTCAAACCGTTAAAGACATCGCCCGTCCAAAATTATCTCGGTGTCTCTTTGACAAATCTAAATAGTTGGACTAACAGTGGTTCTTGTATGTTAAAAGGCATTTTGCTAAAGTGTTGGTCCAAAAAAATTGTTTTGAAAAATTTCAACTGAAGAAATATGTTTAATTTTTGTGTCGCCTCTGGCGACATATCGGGATGACTTTCTCGACGATAGCTCAAGTACTTGCACATATTACACGGGCACTCCAGTTGAAGGATTTTCAGCCGAGTTATGGGCCTTGAATAGAAAATGTGTTTTGCCCTACTTGTGATTTTTGGTCTCCTGCTACACAGTAGCTGCAACATGTAATTGACTCTCATGAGGCGACACATGTCATCACTGATAGCCCTTGTGTTTAAATGAAAATTTGTACAAAGTGAATGGTTCTGTCCATTTTCAAAACAAAAGAATAAACATGTTACTTTAAATTCAATGCAGAAACCAGATTTTGAAACCTGTTATAATTAGTTTGGAGTATGTGCTTGACCCAAGAAGGCCTGAAGTTTATGATCTCTGCTTTGAGACGCTGTCAGACTAAACTGCCATCCTGACAACCTATTAGCTACTAGGACACCACTCCCACCTAAAACTGTAAACCAACTTTTTTAAAGGCATAACCTGTATAAAAGAACATGCTTTTATATCTCTCAAGGTCTTTCTATTGAGAGACCCTAATTGCCTGTATCTCTGTAAAATACATGTATTCAGTTATAAAGGTCTCCACTCAATCAAGTGTTTTTGAAATGACAGAACTAGAAACTAGAATTTTTTTTTTCCAAGATTTTTATACCTTTGATGGAGGTCTGTACTTATAACTTTTGTACAAAATTTCAAATCATTTGCTCACACAGTTTTGCCAGAGTAATCATATTTTCATTGTACAAAGTGACCTAAATGGACGGTGTTAAAACACTTTAAGTTTTAACCGAAAACTGGCAAGGAATTACACTAAATATTGATTTTCGATGTCTTTTTAATATCTTAATTTTTTTATATTTTTTCATTTCATGTACTGCAGTTGATTTTTTTCCTTCAAATTTGATGTATTTAGGCTTTTTTACCTTAGTTGATCTCACTTGATGCTTCTATCATCTATTATTTAATCAAATAATTATAAAGTATTACTTTCATGTTTTAGTTATGGATGGGAACACATCCAAATGCACCTTCATTAATTGTAGTCCAATGGAAGACTAGTAAAGCACTGAGTGAATGGGTGTCAGAAAATCCAGACAAGTTAAGCAACTCTGTCAAAGAAACATTTGCTGGTTCTCTCCCTTTTTTGTTAAAGGTTTTCTCGGTTGACAAATCACTGTCAATACAGGCACATCCAAATAAGGTAGGTGTGTTTTATAATGTATCTTTATTTACTGTAGCTTTCGGTGAGATATATTTTATATCATTTAGAATCATCTTACTTCATATTTCATTTCTAAAGAGCTTTTTTTTAAACCACTTAAAAAGGTCCTGAATATTGTAATTAAGGTTGTTTCCAATCTTCAAATATCGAAGAATATGTAAAATATGTACTGCAAATATTTGTCCACATTGTATGTATCAACCGCTTTTTAGAGTTCCTCTCAGCAATAACATAATGAAAAACATATTATTTTCACCCACGGTCACTCAACATTACGCTAGCCCATGGAAATATTCAATTTTCCTGCATATCATGGTACTACTCCCCGTTACGTCTAATGTAATAATTACATACTCGGTGCTTGCTCATCTTATGATCCAAGCAAAACACAATATTATGTACTCACAAAAACATATGTTACCAGGATCCAACTCTACTCGTAATTCCTCTTTCACCAAATTTCTTATGATTGCTCTTTCATTTGCTATTTGTGTCCTTTGGGTATTTGCCTCATTCTGAGAGCTGGCGACGTCCATCTTAATCCAGGTCCGGATTCGTCAACCACTTGTTCATCTTCATTTTCTTCAGTATCTAGTACAATATCAGAATTGATTGAGAACAGTAGATGCTTTTCAATATTACAGTACAATGTTCGAAGCCTCCTGAACAAGATAGATATCTTAGAAGCCGAGTTTGGTATGTTTGATGTACTTGCTTTCAGTGAAACTTGGCTTAACTCTAATACTCCTTGCAGTGAAATAGCACTTAACAACTTTCATGCGCCTAAGAAGAAGGATAGAATAGAGAATTCTTATGGTTGTGTAATTGTTTATTTAAAAAATACTTTACACTACACAAGAAGATCTGATCTTGAACCCAATGGTGTTGAGTTTATTTGGATTGAACTGATGCCTTCACATTCCAAACGTATCCTGTTTGCTGTTTTCTATCGACCTCCAAACTCAGACTCCAACTATACTAACTTAATTGAATACTCACCCTGTCAGGCACTTGACGCTTGGATATCTGATATAATTGTCACAGGGGACTTTAATTTCAATGACTCTAACCCACAAATGGCCCGAAAAGTAAATTCTATATGTCAGCAGTTTAATCTAGAACAACTTATCTCAGAACCAACACATCTCACAGAATCGTCTAGGTCATTACTGGATTTATTTCTTGTATCCTGTAGCCACAGAGTTATTGCTTCAGGAGTTGGAGAGCCGATCCTAGACCAAAATCAGAGATTTTACTGCCCTATATATTCTCTATTCTCTTTCAAGAGACCACAAACCAATTTATTCTAACGACTTGTATGGCTTAACGATCAATGTCTCTCTCCGAAACAACATTAGTAACACCGAATGGAATCAGTTCAAAACAGATGACATCAATATCTATACTTCCTCATTTACTAACAAACTTCTAGAACTTTCTAAATCATTCATCCCAACGAGGCAAGTAACTGTTAAACCTAACGATACTCCGTGGATTACAACAGAAATAAAGAAACTAATACAAAAGCGCAAAG